TTGAAATTAAAGCGCCTCCTGTCGGTGAAACTCTGCATCTAAGGAGGAAAAAAATTTGACTATTAAATAACAAAAAAATAATAATGCATTACTCTATATTAAATTATAAATGAATTACATCTACAGTTTGATTTAGAATCTTATAAGTAATTGTCTAAAATTATTACAAAACAAAACGTGCACACAAATGTGGTCACATACAAAAAGAGAAATTACACGCTCTCACCTGGCTAGGGTCTCTTGTGAAGTATCTCTTCTCTATTACCTAAAGAGAAAAAATAATAATTTACACACAACTTGCATATACACTGCACAGAGACACGGTATATCATATATTTTAGTTTCAGTGAAGTCCCTACCTTGTCAAAGAATCGGCTCAATTTAACAGCATTTGATGATCCAGCAGCAAGATACCGTGGATTTGTACAATCCTGAGAAGAAAAGCAGGACAAAGCTCAGAATTCATAAGTGCAAAATCCCCAAAGGAGATTTAATACAACAAATGGAGTTTTTTGCTTAATATTATACGAGTTTGGGTATTGTAACAGCACTAAAAAGCACACACCAAATTGATCTCTTCCGCATTAAAGTCTTCAGATAGAAAGGCAGTGCGGGTCAGCACATCATTCCTCTTGTTTTCCGGGATCTGATCAAATTTGGTGCCAATAAGCAGGAGAGGAACAGAGTTCTCTGCAAACTGTTCTCTGTCATAATCTCTGCAAGTGCAAAACATCAGAATTATTTCCTTTGAACATATCTAGGACCTTATAGACAAAAAGTATTCTCTCACTGTATTCTGATATATAATCGTCCTTACAGAACCAGAAGACTCACCCATTTGATACAATGATGCCAGTTGGAGATGAGACTTTGCTCAGTGCCTCCAGTGACCAGGGGTACAGATTCTGAGAGGATTTCTTATTGGTCAAATCATGAACTAAAATAATACCTAGAAGGGAAAAAAGTGATTTAGCATTAAAGAAGAGTCATTACAAATATTCCAGCATGCTTTTTATTTGTACACATATAAGAACACATTTTAATGGTGTGTCTGATACTTAACCATTTACAGAATTGTAAAACACAGCTCTGGTGCTTTTAACACTGCTGGCACTGCCAACAGATCCCCCAACGTCCCAGAGTTCAATGTAGTATGTCTTCTCTTCTGGAGTGCCTTCTCTGTAGTCATGAACCTGTGAAAAGAATCAAGACTGAGTTTACTTTATTTCATAGGTTTATATGATAATGACACAGTAAATTAATAATAATCACTGCACATTGTCACTGTACCCTGACGTCCACTGAACAGCCCACAGTCCATGACGGATTCCCCAAAACTTGATTCTGGCAAAGTAAATGTACAAGAGAGGACTTCCCCACTCCTGTAAACAGACACAAAATAACACTGATTAGAACAGCAATACTGAGGCTCACAAAGTATTTATTTTTAAAAGAAAAAGTACAACATCGAAAGTGTGGTTCCTCATGATAGATATTCTCAAATAATAACGAACATAATAGTAATATTGTAGAAATCCAAGCAAATGTGTCAGGCTAATACTTCTAGCTTGAGTCGAATATTAGACAACACTCTTATATTTTAAATGTACATTCACAATATCTTTGAGGAGGTTACAGAAAAAAACAAGGTCGACAGATTATTTAGGTAATATTTATTACCAGAATCTCCCAAAACCAACACTTTCACCCTGTCCAAAGATGCCATTTCTTTCCGGAAGTACGCTGTGGTCTCTGTCCGTGTATGAGAACAAAATAAAAGTTGCAGAAATACGTGAAGACTGCACAGAGCTGAGTATAGTGAAAATCTAAGTCAATAAAACGGAAAGTATAAACTGAAAAAAAGAAAAAGAAATAAAGTTCTGTATTTAATAGTAGCCCTTGTGTGATATGTGGTTTAATTTTTATTATTAGCCTCGCTCGCTTGCGTTTAATATCAACATTACTACAGTTCTTTATAATATAATATAATATAATATAATACAATATGGGTTATTGACATTTTTCGTTTGAACTTTTCGAAACACTTCCGTTTTAAAATGAGGCGGGACTTGTGACAGAGCAGGAAGAGGCTTTTTTGATAGACATCACAGAAAGCCGGTGTATTTTATTATTGGACTTCTGAAAGAAACAAGGACCCATGGCTGTTAGAGGAATGAAATTATCGAGTGTTTGTTTTCTACTTTTATATTTGATATTGACAGCGCTGGCTGGGTAAGTGAATATCGTGTTATTTTCAGGGTTTAGGTTTAGTGTATTAAAACTCAACACATGTTTCACTGTGATTGGTCTACGCCGCTGTCCGTGCATCATGCTGGTGAAGCTCGCCATAAAATACTTGATATCACCGCTCCTATTTGTTGTACTTTAAAGCGTTTATTTCAGTCCAGGAATGTTTTTTTTTTTGTTGTTGTTGTCAGGACAGTGTTTTTTTTAAGTACCAAAAATTGCTGTGACGAGGCTGATAACTTGTCATTGTTGCCACGTTTATATAAATGTCACATTTCTTTCAGAAATATCTTAAGCTTCATACCGTTGTCCTCTTGCTGATTTCCTCATCAAGATGTATAGATGTTAAATAGTTGGACATCATGTCAAAATTGCTTAATCAATTCATCACTAGTTTGAATGAATGAACTGGTGTACGATTGCAAAGTTCTAAAGTAATGTGTATTTTCAGGAGGGATTTCTACAACATTTTGGGGGTTAGTAGGTCAGCATCAATTAAAGACATTAAGAAAGCCTACAGAAAGCTGGCATTGCAGCTTCATCCAGATAGAAACCAAGATGACCCAAATGCCCAAGACAAATTTGCAGACCTCGGAGCTGCTTACGAGGTATGATTGTTTATGTTTTAACAAGTCCTTATGTTTTTTGTTTTGACCGTCACGCATTATGTTAAACAAAAATATTGTCTTTACTGGATATTCAAGTGATGTGCATTAGGGAATGACATGACTTAGTTTTAATGCGAATATTTTGCGTAACTTTAATACAAATATCTAAATTGGCGATGCATTGTGTCACTAAAGCATTGCATTAGAGATTTATCATATTTTTATAAACAAAACAGTGAATCTGACCAGCGTGAGCGTTGCTGTTAGAAACGAACCAATGGAGCGATTTGATTGGTTGGAAGAAATGTGTGGCCGCCTCTGATTGGTTTAAACATCTGCTTATTGTTATTCATTATATTTATTGACGTGGACCTCTAGTGTAGCTTGTAATAATGTGTACTACTGTGTGCAAAATGGAATTCTTATTACATAATAAATGATTTTCTGTTTAATACCAAGTAGTTAGTGGTTGGTTCCATTATAATGTTATAACAAGTATACCTTTCATATATAAATAAATAATTTAAATATTGCATACAATTGTAATAATTCGATTTAAATAAATGTTTAAATGTCAATATATAATTGATTTTATTTATTATTATTATTATTATTGTTGTTATTATTATATTTTATTTTTTAAGGAGGTTGCCTTTTGTGCAATTTCAATGTCTATAACCATGTCAGAAATAAGAAATTTATCTTTTTGTATCTATTATTTAACATTTTGTATATTTCAGAATATCTAATTATGGCTTTAGACACCTATGTTTTTTATGTTAAATAGAAATTGCCCCTAAAAACAACTTCAGGGTGCAAATATTGCTCATTGCTCAGTTCATGGTGGTTTTCAGGACTATTGAAAAAAAGGAAAAAAGTTGACTATTTTCTGATTTATTCTGATATTCACAGGTGCTCTCAGATGAGGAGAAAAGGAAACAGTATGATGCATATGGAGAGGAGGGTTTAAAAGAAGGCCATCACAGTTCACACGGTGATATATTCTCCAGGTAAATGAGCCTCAGCTTAATTAAAAGTTTTCTTCACCAGTTAACTACTGAAATGTTTGTAGTGTTGAAATGTTTGCAATGTTTTAGTATAAATTTGCAAATGACTGATGCATAGTTGGTATTCTCATTTCAGATGCGTGCCTATTTGAAACAAAACTGTTGTTACTGTCACTGCGCATTCATACAGTCTGTGACTACATTGATATGCAAATTTGTGTTTTGTTTTTTTCAAGTTTCTTTGGCGACTTTGGATTTATGTTCGGTGGAAATAGGCAGCCAGCCGGCCGGGATATTCCAAGGGGTAATGATATTATACTGGACCTTGAAGTAACCCTAGAAGAGGTTTATTCAGGGAATTTTGTAGAGGTGAGCTTCTTTTTTTGTTCTTGATCCCTCTCCATTTCCTTCCTGATGTACTGTAGTATACACACTCTTTGTGTACTTCTGTAGGCTTTGTTTGGCAGTGAACATGCATAGTCACATGGAAATGGACACTCTCCTTTTCTTTTTCCTGTCCTTCTGTTTCCTCTCTTCTTCAACATGTAGGTGGTGCGAAACAAACCTGTAGCAAAAGAAGCCCCAGGCAAAAGAAAATGCAACTGCCGACAGGAAATGAGAACCACACAGCTAGGACCAGGTCGCTTCCAGATGACACAAGAAGTAGTCTGTGATGAATGCCCCAATATCAAGTAAGTTTGCCCAGTAATCACTCTAACTTTGACTCGGTAGGACATATTGGGCCTCATTTACGAAACGAACGTACGACAGAAAATTGCGCGTATTGTCGTTTCAACGCAAAACTTGGAATTTATCAATATGGACGCGAGCGGTGGCTACGATCAAATTTCATGACTGGTCTCAGCTCGTGTACGCACGTTTTTGAGTTACCTGAACTAGCGCGCAGCATAGTAAATACAGTGGAGAATTGTAGAATGACAGCATTTTGTTCATTTTTATTTTCCTGACCATCAAACGAAGCTCATTAGTCCATCGTTAACCAGTAAGATTAGAATGTCTTTTTAAAAAATTTTTTTATACAGGGCTTTAGCTTTATATGCGCGAATAGCAGCGTAAACCACAGACCATGAAGATTCAATCGTCACATCATGCACCTGCAACACTTCTGTGAAAGGAGAAAAACAGAAATTAAGTTTATAAAAGGAATAAAATAAATATGATCACACAAAATATATAATAGGCTATAATATAATTAATAGATTAACAAAAGGAAAAAAAAACACTGTGCAACAAGTATAGGCTGCGCTCGTTTTTGTGACACTCTTAATGCCTTTTATTTCTTTTCTTTATATCTTTATTTGATTTAATCCATCTGATCGCACAGGCGCCTCACGCACACACAAACAACATTAGTTCTAGCGGTGCCTTACACTTCAACCATTCATCATCAAACTAAAATGCAGTCAACCAAACATAAAAGTTGCACTGTTTCTTTTAAAAAAGTCTGCTGTAAAATCAGCGTGCAGCGCCCAAACAAACATTTTTGTGCATGTGAAGGATTTTACACGGATATTAGAACATGAGTGAAGTATAAAGCCATGTTTAGGCTACATAATGAATAATAGTTATGCAAACAAATGTTACAAATATGGCAAAAATGGAAACATTTGGATTCTTGTGGTATGAGACAGGCTCGTGAGCCCAATGCCGTTCAGTTTTGCTTGACATTTGTATGCTGTTTATAATGAATGCCACTATAGCCTAATTTGTGTTTTATTTTAAAGTTTAATATATAATTTTATAGCTACTTATTTTTCATTCTTGTTCTGTTCTGAATACCATTAAATTTAAAATATTTGTTGTAGAGTGAGGGGAACTAAATAGGCTGTTTATATTTACCAGTATTTTAATATACATATAAATTACATAAATTAATGTAGCCTAATTGTTTGCAATTACAAGGTTAACAGGTGTTTTTGGAGTAAGATCAATTTCTCTTTCACGAGATTACTTCCTCTTTTTGGCCGGGTTTCGTTTCTCCGTGTCGTAAACTCAGTGGCGAGGCTTCTAAACCAGGGTGTTTTTAGGGGCGTGATATTCAAATAACGATTGTTTAGTGCCGCATCATTTTCGTACGATGAGATCTCAGATTGGCGGCATACGAATGTTTCATGAACCACACGTGAACTCTGTCGATTTGTGCGCACGTTTCTACGTTAGATTGATAAATGAGGACCATTATGATTTTCTGTTTGAACACTGTGTCATTGTTTCCAGGCTTGTGAATGAAGAGAGAACACTAGAGGTGGAGATCGAGCAGGGTGTGAGAGATGAGATGGAATACCCTTTCATTGGGGAAGGTATAGAAATTAATTTATTTTATCATTAATTATACGGATAACTCAATACAGTAACATTTGTTTTTATGAATTAGCTAGATGCTGCAACATATTATTTATAGAATGTACACGTGACATATCTGTTGTTTGAATGATTACAGGTGAACCTCACATTGATGGTGAGCCTGGAGATCTGCGTTTCCGCATCAAAGTTTTAAAGTAAGAGTAGTATTAAATGATAGCAATTAGAACAGTGAATTTAACTTTTCTCTTAATGTATGTTCAATATAATTTAACTTAAATGGTGCCTCCATTTGTTCTCTGTCTTCAAAGAGTGAGACTTTATGAACTGTTTCCAGTTTGTCACACGTCAATCTCTTCTTCTCCAGGCATCCAGTGTTTGAGCGCAGAGGTGACGACCTCTATACAAACATCACCATCTCTCTGGTAGAGGCTCTGGTCGGTTTTGAGATGGACATCACTCATTTAGATGGTCACAAGGCATGTTTTGTTTAATTTTTAGAATATATATTTATGTTTCATTTCACATGTGCAACTAAAAGCCGTGACTTTATAATGTAACAC